TTCACGATCTTTTCTACTTAATTTCCACGGACAAAAAATGTATTCGTCGTTATAGGATATCGCGCAACGTTCTTGAAAATTCTATAATCTAACAAGTACGAGACGAACGTTAAGACGGGTAATTTTTACTTTTCTCATTGATATATCTTAGATCCTTTCACGTATTATCCCGATATATAACGAGACGAAATGGAAAAAGTGCCAAGTCAGGTGATTTTTCTCTGGCAGGCTAAAGCGTAAAACTTGTAATTTGAAATGCACCAGAGAATTGGATAGTTTAGATCCATCCCTTCGATTCGGATTCCAACAGAGAATCACGTGGACAAGAGGCAATCGGCGTTCCGGCCAGTCTTGCGGTTCTAGTTGTATCTATTGAAATTACCAGCTGGCGAATTGGCAAGTGTGATGGTGCAGCTAACGGGAGAACCTCCAATCAGTACGTAATTGCTTCATTCCGTTGCCAGGTCCGCTGCAATATCGCGGTTCTCTGAGCCGTACCTTTACTTTCAAAGATTCTACCAATCTCGAACGACTAAGAGATTTTTTGGTTTACATCGAATTTGCTGATCGTGCGAATTTGGCTAAAAGATTCGTTTCGATGCGTCTCTCATCGTCGGACGTTAAAGCGTATTTGAACACTGTCTGTCCATTAAAATATGTACTTATTTTGGCATCGCGTATCGTTATGTTCTGTAATTCGAAGTTTCTTAATTTTACGATAAAAAGTGTATCGCTATCGTTTGTATTACAATTGTAAATTATACGACGTTATTTAATAGCTAATTAGATTACAAATTTTTAATGCATTTAGCTGGAATTGAACAAATACCGTAACAAACGTGGCGCAATGTAACGCGAATAAAGGGACAGTTTCATCAAGCTCACAATGTCGCTAAACACAAAGCGAGAAAGCAGATTTGAAAGAATCAGAAGCATCGATGCTCGACTCGTTTCCGACGATCTAACGTTACAAAAGCCGAGAACTGTTTCAACTGTATAAAGTTCATCTCGCTGAGCCTCGTGTAACGAAGACTTTGTACTCGGCACTATAACGAGACTGTGCTTTTGTATCACGGATTTTAAAGAGACAACCTACACGGTAAAGTGTACAAACATAACGAGACGAGGAGTGGAAGCTTCAAACGTTCTCCTGGTGATATCGCTTGGGGTGGCTTTTTCTTTTCGCGTGTAGTTCAGAACGTTGGATCGGAATTAATGAACCGTAATCCCCCAATAATGAGGCTTCGGCTTCACTGGCTCTGATACGACCTCGGCACCCTTCTTGCCCCCTCTCCCTCCCCTCTCCCCGTCTGTCAGCCTCTATACGTATATCGATGTGCACGTGCGCCCTGTGTAAATGTCATATATGCCACGCGACTTAGCCAGCCATCGCTACGCAGAGAGAGTGAGTGAGAGAAAGAGAGAGACAGAGAGAGAGAGAGAATGTGTATGTGTGTCTGTGTGTAAGAGAGAGAGAGAGAGAGCGAGAGAGAGAGAGAAGGCCTTCCACGCTTCGAGGCTGTCGACGCGAGACAAATTATTTTCCTCAACAACACGCGTCGATGCTTTTCACGGCGCATAACGAGTTGTTCGAGCGGCTTCGCCTGTATAGAGAATACAAAATATCCTCCCCACTCCTCTTCCTGCTCTCCTCTGTACGGTCGTTCTCTAGCCTGTCGATATTTTTCCCAGCATTACGAAGGAACGCCCCTGAATATTTTCGCCCTGCGAATTTTCCCATCGCCAATGACCTCGACGCTGAGATTGCCCCGGTGCATCCTTCCGCCATTGCCTAGGAGGAAAAAACTGGTTACCGTGACATAATCCGACGAAACAAGCTATTTCAAAATTATCTCGTTCCATGATTTTTTTTCTGTTAAAACCGATCAAAAAACAACGCGCGAGTGGACTGTAATTAGGAGTGGAGAGAAATTTATAAAACGTTTTTCGGAGACGTTCGTCGGAACAACGATGTTCGTCGATAATAATATGATCGTCGATATTACTGCTTCTCACCAAACGCGGTCAAAATTAAAGATATTTTAACTTGAGTCTCAGAATTTCTCGAATAAGGGAAGAGAAATAACACGTATGAGTTTCGCCGGATACTCTTGATATTAGTTACAGTAATGTGGAAAGTTGTATCCAGCCATGAAACCCGCATAACTTTTATGCCTTGTAAACTGCGGCCGGATTCTGGTTTCCTTGGAACGCCGCGGTTATACGCGCGTTTGGCCCTATTCGACTTGGCTGTAAACGAAACTTTTAATAATTGCGAGCCAGTCGTTTCCTTTCCTGCTCTTTCTCTTCTGTAACCTTCGCGGAACACCGATTGCATTCCACATAGCTACGTGTGACCAAGAGTTAAGTGGTACTTCGCGTAAAATGCTAATGAAAATCAGTACCAAATGAATAATGTCACCCCGTTTGAAAGCTTTTAATATATGTATCCTACGAATTCGAACTTGCTGAACCATTAACGTATTCGATCCATCCATTTTTCACTCGATATTATCCAAAGCTAATTGCAAAGTAGTATGTACTACGTATACTCCTGGTTGTTACTTTGCTATTTAATATATATGTAGCAGCATTGTACACCTTTGCAAAATGAAAAGTTACTATTATACATATGTATGTATATAACAGAAAGCAGTGGAACTGACAGATAGTACAAGGTATTTCAATTTTTCTCGTCCGAAAAATCTAACGCTTTAACCAAATCGACTTTGCTTCGGCAACGCCTACCTCTACATTACTCCATCGAATCTATAAATTTTTATACGAGCTAATTTTGTCAGCGGTATTTGACGACCCTGTGTAAGAGACTTAAAAGAAGGTAAAAAAAAGCCGTAAAAAGTTTTGTAAATTTCGAATCCACGTATATTGTACCTTTCACAACGTCCCGAAATGTTCAACGCCAAAAATAATAAAAAGAAAACACGTTCTTTATGGCGAACACAATATCCTCTTCATACAATTTGGCAGTATCGATGATACTCTCTGGAAAATCTTCACTGATTATAATGTATAGTTGAGCGATTCGACCAATTCTTGGATCATCCTTTTCCATTCAGTGTTTCAAGTTCGCGCGTGGTTGGGTTACGCGAATCATTGCGCATCATTTTTAATACGCAAAGACACGTGTCATTCTGACGTTTGAGCGTATAAACGTGCCTTAACGTGAGTCATGTACAGTTTTAGAAGCATTTTAAAAGCATTCTGTACAGTTTCGGTTATATATAATTGTAGACCACTTTAAGCTGATATTATACATCGTGCACTATTGTCCGTATTTTCACCATTTCGAAATAAAGAGTGAAAATATGATTGTTTAAAATTATCATCAACTTTATGTTTCAACTTCTAGACAGTGGGTTTTAGAACGCTCCGTTTTAATTTTCATCGTGTATTTTACACGACGAAACATTATTTTGTAAAACGAAAGAAAAACGTTCTCGCAACAGAAAGAAATCCGAGCATCGAAATTCGAACCCATGATTTTTAGGTTCGCTTTAACTACCACGTTGCCTTTTCATATTTTTCCTCTATTGGACTAGTTTCTTTTTTCTTTTTGTTTCTTCTTTGTGATATAACAGCATATTAACAAAATGTAATGGAAATTTCAAACGACGATCAGAATAGTCGTGCAGGCAATATTTTCCGCATTATGCATTTATACTGTGTTAAAAGTTGAAGAGTAAAACTATACATTTGAAATAACTGTCAAACGAAAGGAAAAGGAATTACGAAAGAAAACACAAGACCACGAAAGATGAAATGAAACCAGCACAAAGATTGCCAAGCAGAGGAAAGAAATAGATGGATAAACCGTGGAAAATCGCGTGACAAGAAGAGGAAATTTCAGCGAGCGTATCAACGGGTTACAATATTACCGTCGTTATATAAACTCAGACACGCCCAGCATTTGCATTGATGACGTGAATATAATATATCACCAGAACCTCGAAAGCTGAGCTTTTCTCCGCAGCCACAATGGCCACTGACCACCTGTTGCCTTTCCATTTATATTTTAGACGTGGTGAGAACATCATCGTCTTACGTATCCTCGTAAACATCTCAAAAGGAGACGCGTTTTCTCCATTGAAAAAGATCTTATGCTAACTATCTGTAGAATACTCTGAGGTTTTCTACTATAATCAAGTATAATAGATCCTAGCTTATTCAGTTTTCCTCGGCTTATTATGTAGTTACACAGTCTCTCTTGTTGCTATAAATGAAATTTAGAAATAGAATATTACTTTACTGTATTTTCTGAAAGGAAAATTCTTTCGAATCTTCAGTAGCATACCTTTTCATAATGGTCATGCAAAATAATTTATAACGTGGTATATGAAAACGATACTATAAATACCGCGTCTCTTTGCTTTCGCTCGATTTTAATACTATTTTAGGTGGGCAAACTTATTCACGTTTTACGAATTAAATGGTAGGTATTAAAAGGAAATTGGTACACACGTTTAATGGAAACGAGTTTGCTAGTAGAACGATTAATTTCCAATAAGTAATAAGGGGAAGAAGGCCGTAATTTTCTTTGATAATCACGTCCGTTGTCGAAGCGATGTTATTATCAAATTTTCTACGTGTTATAAATTTATAGAGGATGAGAAACGCGCACGCGGTCACGAAGAAAATGCGAGGTTCTAGAAAATTATGCGGCTTTACGTCGGCGACGGTAATCCCCTTGCTACAGCGTCGCTTCGTCTCATGGAAATTACGAACCGGCACGTCCGACAGCAGTATCTGATCTTGCATTTCAGACTTGCTTGTCATAGCATGGCAATTTACATTGTGAGCAACATAATCCTCAAACGATAGATTGTACAGCGTTCTCGCATCAGTCTTCTATAGCCTATTGCCGATTTGACCAAATAATTTCTAAACCGCGAATATTTATATTTTTAGAATCATTTTTTGCATAATATTCGTCAGATATCGATTATAACAGATAACCAACATATTGAAATGATTTATTTCAGGGAGCGTCATCCAGCTTAGTGGTAAAGTTCGCAGATACTGAGAAAGAGAGACAACTAAGACGCATGCAGCAAATGGCTGGGAACATGAGCCTCCTTAACCCTTTCGTTTTCAATCAGTTCGGCGCTTACGGCGCTTATGCTCAGGTGGGTCACATTATGGTTAATGGTTCTCGCGTTACCATATTACCCCGTCTGGCTGGTTCTCGTTATCGCGAATCCTACAACCTATAATTGTTTCTGTCTTGTTAAAAACGATCGACGATGCCTAATACCAACGTGCTGATTTAATTTTTCTGTAAAACATTTCCGGTAATATACGTACATTCGGACATTTCGATTTTTCTATGCATCTATATTCGATCTATATTGAAATTTGCGTATTTGACGTTTATTCGGTAAATTTCTATTAAATCGGCAGAATTCCAACTACTTCCATTTAAATATTACTTAGTACCAAAGTTTTATTTCTTAACTAACTTGCAGTAATCCAAACAGAACGCTCTTTCTTGAATACATTTTCGATATAAATGTTCTACTTACAGCAGCAAGCAGCTCTCATGGCTGCTGCGACAGCACAAGGGACGTACATCAACCCGATGGCGGCACTGGTCGGTGCTGGGCAACTACCGCACGCGTTAAATGGCATGCCAAATCCCGTGGTTCCACCGACTTCTGGTATGTTCCTTTTTTGGTTTTTTCTTTCTTTTGACAGATCGAATGTCGATATTTTAAACACGTCCGCGTTAAACAGTCTCTGTGTATCACTCGAGTATTTAATTCGGAATAAGGAATTATCCTTCAAAGTACGAGAAGAAAGAGAAACTTGCGATTTCCGTAAAATTATTTCAAAGAAATGGGACACGCGAGGGAAAAACTTTAACTTAAGTTCGACAAATATACACGCACGTATGTACACTTTGTTGCGAAATTTTCCAGTTTCACCGACGTGAAACTCTTTCTTTATCTCCCCTCTTTTATCCCGCTCTCCCCTCGTTTATTCCTCCACAGATCTCGCGGCAGCAAGAGTGTACAGTCCGTTGCCTTATAACCGGCTCATAAATCAATACAACATTTTCACCGAGCGTGACTCGAGCGAAAGATATTGCCAGTACCGCGAAACTTTATCGAAAGCTCGCCGCGAACGGGAAGGAGGAAAAGCCAAAGTAGCACCGTTCCTTCCCTTTTTCCTAACCCTCTTTCCCTCCTCTTCGCCTCTTTCGCTGTCTTCTCTTTTCCGGTTTCTCTCATTCGTTCAACGCGTACACAAGAGGAGGGAACGAAATAGCAGAGGCAGGTAAACTAAGCACGGAAATCGGCTCTCGACAAGCGCTCTCTGGTATACGTCGAGTCTCGTCAAGCGAAACGTAATACCCTTTGATAGGGAAATAATATTTTATTTCTTCTCCACCTACTTCTGATCTTTCCTCCGCTTACCAGCCTTGCAGATTGCCAAGCTTCTGCGCTTTTATTTCTACTGAAATACGACGTCATCGTACCTGTCATTATGGATTTTTCATCCGCAGAGAGTACCTTATACAAGACGATGGATGTAGTTGAAAAGATTTTCCATGGATTTACACGAATTTATGGATACGCGATGAATTACTCGACTGTTGAACTGCGCTTGATTTTAGATATTAATAAACTTCACTTATTTATCGTTTTCTCATCGTTACGAGAAATGTCGTGCTCGTTCCTTTAAACCTATCTTCGCGTGTTCCAAATCATTTTCTTGAAAAACGTATCTAATTCGCAGTCCGTGAAACAGAACGAAACAGAGTCCGCAGAATAACATGCGTGAAATTGAAAAAATATTTAATACACGAGGTGTTAATGTATCTGAACATGGAATAATCTTTAGAATTTATTAAATACCGATAATGAAGCTGCAAGGGTAAATCGATTAAAACTGACGAAACCGTAAAACGATTATTCATGGTCGAAACGCATCTATTTAAAGGGTATAATGGTTCGTTTCTAAGCCAACAACCTATCGTTTGAAGAGCTTAAAATATGCACGAAACTTTGAGTCGTTACCCCTCACCTTTACAAACAACACACCGATACGTACACCCAAATGCTCGTTTACTTTTCGTACTTGCTCAAACGCGCTACATCGAAGGTAGACGTTAAGCAGATACCGAGATAGCGATCTTCGGTCCGGATTACCGATCTAATCATCCTAAGAAAACAGTCAGTCGATTTGCTCAGAGGCCGGATCATTAACTCGTGGAACAGTATTCTACCGTGAGTCGTTATTAGCTCTAAAATCGGATCAATATTCCGGCAATCTGCAGATCATACGGACCCTCAAACGCGACGCGAGGCATACGGATCATCCGCAAACTCGATCTGACGTCCTTCCAATTATACAGTATATACCGTAAATATATACCGTAAATCGGTTGACAGGATGTACAGAGAGGGCAACTAGCTAAGCATGATCATTCCCGATCCGATGTCGCGCGTCGGGAGGGTGACTGAGGTCGGTGTTGTAAGAGCAAGAGGGTAACCGGTGTGTACTGATCAGGTTTGCTCGTAGGTACCGGTACAGGGCAGCCGGTTAACGGGGCGATACCGTCGTTACCATCGCCAACGATGCCCAATTTCAACATGGCTGCACAAACACCGAATGGTCAACCAGCAGGTTCGGATCCTGGTGTCTACACCAACGGGATACCGCAGACCTATCCGGGACGTGAGTATCAACTCAGGCGCAGTGTGCCGCCCCTGCGCAATGCTCGGCCAATCGACGCTGGACTTTATTATTTTGCCTTTGCTATGAGAACCGAGTAACCTCGCCCTAGACACGTACCACATTACCTCGATTCTTTCTCTCCGAGTGGGAAAAAATCTTTCCCATTCTCTTTTTCTTCGCTATTTCGCGTGGACGCTGCAGCGAACGTCGTATACGCGAATGTTAAGTATCGGGCTTTAGTTGCGAGAATTTTGAACACGCGCGTACATATTTTATCGACGATTAATAGTAATTATTAGTAATGCTCCTTCTAAAGGTACTGGTTTCCATATTTGTAGTAAAGCCATACGAATATATTAATCGGAAGGTAAATTTTGAAACGATATTCCTACAAAGGACTTATGTACGCAAGCGTTAAGATCACCTTGCGTAAATATAACACTTTGATGCGCTTCTCGATGCAAAACGAAAGTTAACGTAACGTTGAAATCTTAGAATCGGTATCCGAATTTCCCATTTCGCCTTACGCATACCTGTAGAATCAGATTAAGCTAACGAGGGATCCAAGAATACGCGATACCGTGCGATATCGATTGGTCAGTACGTATTGCGACAGGGGCCCTAGACATAGGTCCGTCCTCGATAAGAGCTGAGCTTACTGAAGTGTAGATGCCCTCCATCTGTCCATTCCAGCACAAGGGCTGCCCAATGGGGAGGCGGCACTCCAGCATGCCGCCGCGTATCCTGGAATGCAACCCTACCCCGGTGTCGGTAAGTTTTTTCTTCGCCATTTACTTTTTCCCTTCGTCTTATCGAGAATTCCGTCAAGCCTTCGTATCTGCAAAGAGTTTTCACGGAACTTTAGCGAACGCATTTCATAGTGTGCTTTTTCGATAACAGCACGAAGCTCAAAGCTAGCCTCGAAACAGCGATCCAAATCGGATTCTGTAACGAGTTTTTTGACCGAAAGAAAAGAAAAGGAAAAGATCGAATGAAAATTATCGCGTTGCCTATTCAACTCGAGATATTATTCGAAAATGTTATTACTTATATGCATGATCCAAGCTTTCGTTTCTCCATGAATACGATACTTTCAGCGATGCAATCGGGAAAACGCGATCCTACCGTGGAAGTCTCGCAAAACGGTAATTCTGTTCGTTGTTAGATGTACTTTCAGCTTTTTCAACGAGAGCGTACATTAAGTGGACGATATTTTACGTCGAATTAATTATTCGGTGAACGATTTCCATGTTTTCAAAGGACGTCTCATTAGGGGAAACAGATTCTAAAGACGCAAGAGCAAATGAATCGGAACGTTCGGTTTTAATATGCTTTTATCCGAGCACTCGAGCACTTAACTCTGAAAAATTCGATTCCGCTAATCGCGTTTCTGGCTGTTGCATGTAACTATGGTCGCATGTGTACATTTATATACGTATATAATACAAAAATGTATATAAATATATATATACACATGCACATATCTATACACATGTACAAGAGCACAAATGTTTCATCGTTATCATTATGATCATACGTGTATATTATAACATATAAGCATATTATATAGACGTGTCGCGTCATCGTGTCGTTATATAATGCTTCTGGTGTGCTGCTACAGTGTATCTTCGATGTTATTTTATATAGGCGTCGTGTACATTATATATTGTTAACTCTTAAGCGCATCATGTATCGTGCATGTTCATTAAAACGCAGACAACACGCCGACATGTAATCGGCTAGGATGTCGAAGAACCGAACGATGTTACATCAAAGTGCGATACACCGGCAGGAATCATAATCCAATAACCAACATCAAAATGGACGATTCCGTTTCAGTCTAATCAGCGTGTCGACACGACGTATAACTATACTTCGATTCGTTCCGCTCACCGTTAGCAATTAACACAGGGGTTTGATGAATTCTCTGTCCCAATGGTTAAATTAATAACGGAGCATTCGAATTGCTGTTTCACCAGCACCAAGTTTCATGAGTGCGCGTCATTATCGACTGCAAAGCAGCGAAAAACCCGCAAAAATTCGTCGTCCTAACAAATATTTTAGTAGGAATGTACGCGTCGAAAATCTGTGCGGAATCGTACAGTGAAAGTTCGCCATATTCTTTTAATTTACAAGACTAAATGCCCAATTAAAATTCTAAAAGTCTTTCTTTTTTTTCGTTTTATCCTCGTAACGTGCAAAATTTAGACGAATTGCTCGGTTTTTAGTGGTTGTAGAAATAGACAGGTACAACGTACACTATACGTAGTTTTGTACAAGTTTCCCCTACGTTGTCCGTCATCCCGTATTCTTTTTCGTTTGGTCGTCTATTAGCATCGGGGAGAGACCCCCTTTTTCTACCCATGTATCTTTCCTGTCTCTATACGTGCACGCGGAATTGGCAGAAATTCATCAAATTTGAGGTATAACGTCCGTACGCGGAGACCGCGCTGGTTTCCCGTGTTTGCCAAAGACTCAAAAATAGGATATTCTTTTTCTGTGTATTTTCGTCCAGTGTACACAGGCCGTGGAGATCAGCGAGTGGAAAAAAAGCAATCCGAAATATCGTGTGTCCCTCTATCCGGGCGAATGGTAACCGACGTATGATGGCGTATTTATTTCATACGCCAAACGTCGGACCATCGTTGGACCGAAACCTCCGGTAACGTCAATCGGAATATATTAAAGCAATGTTTGCACGGAAATAATTAATTTCCAAGCGAAAATTTACCGCTTCTGATCTGAGAGCGAACGACCAAACCCCTTCACTCCGCCCCCGCTGACCATCCCTCTCTACGTTTATCCGTCACAAACAAATATCAATCGCGCGCGTTTTAAATATTTGCCAAGGTATAATTAATGCCGTTATAATTGCTTTTCTCTAATATCATGCGGTAAAGTGCTCGTTTATCCATTGCAATCTACAACTTCAACGCGTATTTATGCGATATAAATGTGCCTGATCGAGAGTATCTCGAAAAGTTTCATAACAGCGTACGTAATCTCGAATATTCTACGATTTTTCTTTGCCCGCCTAAGAAACTCGATGGTAGAACAACGATAGAATAAAGTTCTACGACTGAATTTTACTCGAAGTAAGGTTCTACGAGTGAAATCGTTGGTTAGTCAATTATTGTACAGCTAGGCCCTGTTCCTTCCGTCCATATTTTCTTCAACGTCGTTGCGTTCTAAACGTTGATTTAAACTGGCCGTTAGTTACGCACACGTATAGTTTTGATAGTCGCGATATGCGTACTCGGCGAATAATGAGGCCGGACAGAACGGGTAACGGGACTTTGAAGCGATATCGCGTGACAGTTAATGTCGGTAATATCGGATAGGAGCGTTGCAAAATACAAAAGTATCGTGTTAAAAGTCGTGGAACGATGAGAACGTTGAGGGTCGAATATCGTTGTAGTGGAAAACACCGCAACGAACGCGGCTAGACGCTTTAATGGAAAAGAGACTTGCTCGTCTAGTGACTTTTTTTCGTTTACTTTCGAGTTCACCTGACGGTCCGAGACTCTTCTCATTAATTCGACGAACCATGGCCATAATTTCGCAAAGTATCGCGTTCAGTTTTCTCTTTTGGTTTTCCGTGTTTCTGCCGAATTAAACGCAGTGTTTTCATTGTTCATCCACGTTTGTTACGAACGAATTATAAACCGTTCTACCATAATTATTTCTCGACTCGCTGCTGACGACAATGCAATTTCGCATTAACTCGATTGACGTTGACCATGCAGTTTACCTTTTATTAATGTTGCTGCTTGTTACATTTACGCTGTTGTATTTCCTGGAATTATAATTCGTTGTCACAGCATACATAGGGTATACGAGTTAATCTTTGATCTCCAAAAATATTCAACATCTTTGTCCGGCCTTGGTCGACTTAAAAAATAATTGGCCGCGTGTTAAGCTCAAATACCAACAAACGAAAATTGTCGTTTGACATTCTAATCCGAATCGTACGCCAAAGCAGATAGGAGCTTCAAAATGATTAACGTCGACGTTCCGAAGTATAATCTACAAATGCGAATTATTCGATGTAAACGTTTTTTACGCATCATCGTATGATCTAACGTTGTTATAAAATCGTTTTGTCTTTCTTATTTTATCGGATTCGAGCAATCGCATGGGAAACGTAAATCACTATGTGAGAAATCAAATGGTCTCCAACGCAACATAATTTTACTTTTACTTTACACGAAAACACTGATGGCCACGAGAAGCTGTGTTTTATGGAAACGAAATAGGAACGATAAGAACAGCATGCACTACGTGTATAGATGTGGACACATCATGATGTATTTGTTATTTGTTACTGTCGCAGCTTATCCCGCCGTCTACGGCCAGTTTCCTCAAGCTATTCCTCAGCCGATGACCGCCGTGGCACCCACGCAGAGGGAAGGTAAGTAGAAAACACTCATCAACGTCTAACTGTTGACTGTAAACACGAATGATTGTAGTCCTAAGATTGTAGATCCAGCTCCCAAATGTCCAGACACGAGTTTATCCTTCGTTGTTACGTCGTACAAGGTATACCATTGATTACTACGGGTGGTTTCTTTTTACATCTGTTGAAGTACGTAAAAATCTCGCTCTACCAAGAGATCTTTCTCGAATAAAGTTCTCTAATACTTTACAAAAGAACGTGATTTGTCAGTAACGACTGATCGTAACGAGATAACGAGCAAGCATCGAAAGGAGTCAATAACGCGGTTACATTTCTTTTGGTAAGAAGCTCGGAAAAATGAACGCGTTCTTTTTAATTCGACCATGTATGGTTGCGGTCATTTTTAGTTTAATCATAGCGATAAAGATGAAGGATGACTTACAACCGTTCACGAACTTTCATGGAACCGTTATATTTTGGCCCGTCGATACTGCGAGAATAGTCGGGTTTCTCCGCTATGGAAGCTGCACAAGACAGGTCTCCTCGGTCGCATCGTGTTTCGTCCGTTAATTACTGACAAGATAACGAAAGAATGAACTTTCAACATCTCGTGTCCGTGAATTTGCGTCGTGTCTTTCGCCTGCCCGACTAATCCTAGCAGCGTTCGCTCCGTTTTCTCGACGACAGGGACCGAGGGGCAACGCATTAATTAAGTCAATTGACTCGAATTGAATGCGCAAGATTAATCGAAATCGATGTCGTCGCAAGAAAGGACAGACGAAAGAGCAGATCATTCGTCAACGTTATCTATAGGAATGAGAGAAAAAAAAAAGAACGAAGAAAACGAGTGAGGATTAAAGATGGCGGATAAGCGGCAGAAAAGAAAGAGAGGGTAGGGTGAGCCGAGCCAGCGCCTAATTGCAATTAACAACTCGCCATTATTAGAATATACGACGCCTAACAATGAGATAATGCAAATAAAACGAAAGTTTTAATTACTTTGCCGTTACGCCTGCCGGCGATCCGTTGTTACATTGTAGGATAATGGGAAGTTTACCGCGACAGCGTTGCCCCTCCCACGCTTCCAGGCCTCCTCGATATCCCTATTTTCTGCTCTCTTCCAGCGCCGCTTTTCGCCTGCTTTTCCGAACGCACAGTATCTCGTTGATACATTCTCGTAACATGTTATCATGAGATACATTTTATCGTTTTACACATTCGCTACTATGAAAATTACCACATAACGTTCCGAATAAAGAGTTCTTACTATCAATCGTAAAAGCGCTCGTATTTTATGTAAATGCGTTACTTAGCGATAATATTAATTTAATGTAGTAATAATAAATTTTGGAAATAACTTTGTGCAGAGCAGTTTTATTATGATATTTTACTTTTAGATACAGACTAGAGAGCAAAGATTAAGTGGAAATTTGAACATCATCGTTCAAAATACTCGAGGCAAAAAATACTTATCAGGGCGAATGTGTCTCAACGAGACGATAATCGCGTATATCGAAGTTAATTTCGCTGTGCGATCGTTCTAAATCCGATTTCGATTTATTTACTTCTGAAACAAGTGGCGTGGATGTTGAAATTAAAAGAGAGCGGCAACCTATCCTAATGGAAGCAGACGTGACGGCGACATCAGAAGAACGATATCGTTTATTCTGTCATCATTGCATGACATCGTTATCAATTTTATACTTAGTGTCGCTTCGTTCATCATTTTTGCTTCTTTAGTATGTTCTTAATGTATTATACGTCTCATAAGGTGTTCTCGGTGTTCGTACCTCTCTCTTCTCGTAAACAATAGTTGTACCACGATATTCTCAGCGTTTCGTGGAAGCTCTACGTTCATTCTTTATATACATAGATGGGTATACATCGGTGTGTTTTCGTTGTACTCAATGTAATTATTCCTAGCTGTGTTCGGTGTTGCGCTGTCAACCAACAATGATCTTTGCTTTCTTACGACGATCAATCGTACATCTTGTTATATGTATATGGACTGTGCACTTATTACGGGTGTTGATCGATATTCGATATCGTTACATAGCTAAATACCATCATCACGTATATCAATTCTCTGTAATAGATACCGAATTTTAAATTTTGAGTTATGAAATTCTTTATCTTCGACCGTTGTAAACGTGTTCGGGCAATCGTTCGAAGCACTCTGAACATTTGTATGAAAAAACGTATATGCCCCTTTCGTTGGACATTTAGTTGTGCACACGTTTGTATAAATACGAAAATACATAAAATATTAATGGCTACTCTGCATACATTTGTAAGCTCGAATCACTCGGATAAAAATATGTGCGAAAGAATGCCGTTCGAAGAAAAAAATGTTCAAACAGTGGAATATCAGGTTCAGTGGATACTCATCTTAACGCTTTAGTCTGCTCGTAGATACTACTTCTCTCCCTCGGGTTTGGGGGAGGTGTTGCTTTCATTAAATTCGCGTGCACGTCCCGCGCGTGGGCCAATTAGAGAGTCGAAAACCAATTTCAGAATCAACGATCGCATGGCACGACGACGTGGTTAAATTTATGGCTCGTTCTTCGTGATTCCGGCGTCCACCGCAATTCCTCCTCCATTCTCCCCTTCGTCGGAACCGGAAACCCGTCGACACCGGCTCTAATTTGGGTTTCACGTGACAACTACGATCGAGTTATTACCGAGACGAAGTCGGTGCTCGCGAAAAAGAGAACATTTCCCGTTCTTCGTGTAAACCACGAGACACGTTCAAACGATGTAGATATAGAGTTTATCTCTGCTTTCCTTAAACTTCGCGCAACAGTACGACACTCGCTAAACCTGTATCGCGATAAACGAATTTTCATCGGAGAATTATTTCTAAAACTTAAATCCGTTCGAGATAGCTTCTTCTATTTGTAAAACTCAATATTTTTATATTTTATCCGTTTCGTAATTATGCTTTTTCCTGCTGTAATTACGTGCAATAAAGCTTTGAAAGCTCCTAGAAATTGTAGTTGAATACGAACATTCGAAACGAGATGCTACAATTTTGTAAAATATTCTGTCTCTCGAATTATTTGTACGTCAATTTTCACGAATACGCGGAAACGACAATGTTACGTTATTCTTCAAATTTTAATCCCTCGCTCGATATACGTACCTATTCATTCATCGTTGAAACCGATTAACCATCGTCGTCGTAATAATACATTAATTCCACGTGTATCTCCATCGGTTCGTTGTTTCCGTTAATCCAACATTTTCCACTTCACCCTATACTTTAAACAGATTCTACAATTATTTCTCTAATTTCATAGGAAACTTTCTCTAAAATCACGACAGAATTAATCTCTGAAGCAGTTGTAAAAGTCAGTCGACCGCCGATAGTCATTTAGAAAGCAATAGAAAGAGCTATAATTGACTAAGAACTATGAAATGAACGAGACCCGTGATCGTTCGCGGAACTGGAAACGGACAATTGCACTCTCTTGTGGTAATTCGACACGGTAACGTTCGTTCGTAAAGGTGTAGAAGTGACAGAAGGGCGAATCTCGGCGAGGAACGAACGAGTCGCGATGAGTAGCATCCTAAAAGTTGAGTGGCAGCCATCTCATTACTTAAATGCGTCCGTTAGCTGAGAGAAGCGCAGGCCAAAAGAGCTGAAGTTTCCATGGTCATAATCGCCGCTAATTGACGTCGGAGTTATAAAGTTCAGTGAAATTAGCTAAATCCGTATTTGGACTCTCGTTATTCCGACCCTTACTTTGCTTCTTCCGTTGGACTTTCCTCCACGGACGTATTAATCGTCGGTGTCTTTATATCTTTTGCGGCTGACATAAAGTAACAAGAGAATTTTTCGTTATCCGACGAAAGCTCTACAATCTAATTGGAGAAGGAATTGCGTATCATTTCAAACTTTAATGAAATTTCACGAATACGTACGATGATTCGTCATCGTTAATTGACGGAGGACTTTTGTGAAAGTTGGGTTAAAAATGAGAGAATGAATTGTCTAGAAAGGTGAAGATAAGGCATTGGCTCGACAAAATTTTACCGAGGAAATTTATATAGTTGCTTCGTCATTGGTGAAAAGCGTTATTGATTTTTTTTTTTTTTTCTCGAAAAGAAACAACACGTTACCTAGCGAATTTTTACGTAATCTATCTTACTCATTCACTTTCGTACTTGTATCACGAATATTAAACTTCGTAGTAATAAGACGACGGATTAACATGTCTGGCAATCTCATGCAAAGTGTCGCACCATCGTAATCAGTATCATCACTGTCACCACACTCCTTACATCCCATTTGCATTCATTAAAAAATACCCTTCACCTCGCTCGTCATTGTGTTGTGAATCCCAGTGTTGTGTGTTTGTATATTTGAAAGTATAAATACTCAACGTTACTTGAACCGCGAAAAAGCTCATTGCCGTAACAGACATCATCGTGACATTCTAATCATTACTCTCTTCGTCGGCAATCACGCACCTCTATTCCTTCGTTCAATCCATTCCCTTCATCCCCCGTCTGATCTTCCTCCCCTCCCTTCTTTATTTCAGTTGAATTTCACTTTCTTTGCGTTTCGTTTAATGCCCCTATCCGAAGATCCCCTGTCACGTGATTCATTAAAAAAGAAAAAGAATATTCACCATGTGCAAATCGTCCTTCACATTTCCGTGCGACGAGAGAGAAATCAGATTGTCATCGAGAAACGATCACGAATCTTCATCTTCATTCATCAAAAACGCATCCAGACGAGAATCGGGAAGAACGAGAAGAGAGCAATGTGTGCATACTCGCTGACGCGAGGTGGCTCTCCTGTCGCGTCGAAATCATTATGTTGCGAAGAACGAAACTCATCCAGAACTAACATTTTAACTTGAGTATTATACTTCAAGTTTAGATGTTTAGATGTGCTCTGATTTATATGGTAGGATGCTCTATCTCAGGACCTGAAGGCTGCAACCTATTCATCTACCACCTGCCTCAGGAGTTTGGAGATGGTGAGCTCATGCAGATGTTCATCCCCTTTGGCAACGTCATATCGTCCAAGGTTTTCATCGATCGGGCCACCAACCAGAGTAAATGCTTCGGTAAGTGTGTCATTTCCACAAAACACGCGAAGAGTGGCCCGGAAGAGAGAAACAAAATACCGTTGAACAGCTAGACGGTTCGATGGTGATATCTTCCAAAGGTAGGACGATTTGGTAAAGTCTCGGCAATATCGATACCGATCACTTGGACAAAGGATCAAAGTCGCACAACGAAGGCGAACGTTCGTAAAATCATTTTTATAAGTTGGTAGTAATTACCAGCGATAAGCGCGCTTTTAACGATCTCTTAAAAATCCAACAGGTTCATTTTTATTTCGTATCGTATCGAACGGTATTCGAATAAGACGTTGTGTTCGTAACATATTTGTATAAAAGTATTCGATCCATCTTTGTAGGTATAAAAAATTAATGTGCATTTTACAAGTCCATGAGACGAAAATTCTTCATTAAATATGAATACACGTCCGACTGTGACTCGAATGAAACTAGGTAGTCCTTTTGGTTAATCAGAAGGGATTGAAACAAAAGCGCTGAAAAACGTACCAGTGGTAGCTTTGATTAATTGTACCTTGAAAGGATGCTGAAATATGAGTGCAGATAATTGGACGGATATATTCGCTGATATTCCTCTTAGTCTATTCATTCGTAACTAGCGCGATTAATATTTTTCTGCCTATCGCTGCCGATTATTATGGCCTATACAGCCGGATGAATTTCATCGTTGAAAGGACAGTGGTCGTTATATTCTCGGTTTCGTTGTGTGTCGTTCTGCGTGTAATTATCGAGACATTGATGAAAAAGGCACGTCCAAAGTGAACATATCGTTCATTCACGATGCATACTTTGATATCGACGTTGTGATCAACTTCCGTGAAAGAAGTTCTATAACGTAACGAAAAAAGAGGAATGAAAATGCTTCGAGCATTATAATCTACATGGACGCGTATATGTACGTTTTTGCGTACGCGATTCGTCTGTAATCGTACGATATAAATAACGACGCACGATATTATTTTCTTGGAATTCAACGGAAAAGAGAATTTTGGGGGAAGAAAACGGTAAAGGGATACTTTTTCATCGAACAAGGGTTAAAGCCTCTTCAGTCACCTAGTAAAAGTAATTTACGAACTCCGAGTAAAAGCGGTGGTCGCCGAGCGATGAAGAGCCGCGATTGGTCAGGCAGTAGGCCGCCATGATGGCAAAACTAAAATTGGATCGGGGCTAATGGTCAAAATTGGCTTAAACTGGGAGGGCCCTGATGACCTTTCAGCGGCGCTTCTGTTGTTAAGAGCTTCGTTATCGTGCACCTTCTCTCTTTCCCTCTCCCTTTCTCTTATTCTCGATAAAACTTTGATGATAGTACCGAGGTCCCTTCGCAGAAAACTTTTTATTCCTCGCGGCGAATCAGCTAATCTAAATCACTGGTTAGCCAGCGAGTACCCTTTTGCGATAATCAGATGCCCTCAGGTGTCGATATTCAACTTCCCGTTTTCATCGTAAGTCGAAAAATATCGTAACTAATTTCTTTTAATCTCAATTCAAGAACAATTTCAGGTCAGCCGTTGCGGTGGAAAGATTCTCGTATTATGGTTGGGATATAATCGATATTTCTAGCTGTATTACCTCGATACAGAATTTTGTCCTATTTTCCGAAATAAAATCTTTTTTTTAACGAAAGATTTTTTTATTAAAAGGATGTGTTCAACTTGTTACTAATCTTTTATACTATTAAATGTCAATAACGCGTAAATATTCTGTTTTATCGATTAAAATAATTGACGATTCGGTTCTTTCAGGTTTCGTGTCGTTCGATAATCCAGCGAGCGCACAGACAGCGATTCAAGCGATGAATGGCTTCCAGATAGGGATGAAGCGTTTAAAAGTCCAGTTAAAGAGGCCCAAGGACGCAAGCCGGCCATACTAACCAAAGTCCTAGCTTAGAGAAACTGGACGATACGCACCCTACATCATAACCCACAGAGTAAGTTTGAAGAAAGTTCCCGAATAATGAAATACATCCTCCTTGGAAATTTCCAGTTCTATTTCGTATTTGATCAAAAGACGAATCCAGTAATTTTTATATAGTTGCCTCAGTGTGCCAAGTATAAATAATCGTTAGTGGTATCGCTATCGATATTCAGATTGTTAGATTTTAGACTGATAGATTACCGTAAAAAGATCCTCTTTCACGTACAACGAATATGAACTCATAATGTATCGACGATGGTTAAATAGTATGGACCCTTTCTAATTACAGATGTCGTACAAGAACACGGGCTTATTGAACGCTCGACGATCAGAAGTGATGAGTTTGAATCACCGTTACAACGCTCTCCACTATAATAATCTAGTATACTAGTTAGATAATTTAATTAGAGTATAAAAATTAGAAGTCAGTAGATTGACTTCGCCGGCAGCCACGCGGCGAGGACGAAGAGGCAGGCTGATGCTAATGAAACATTGGATGTCCAGCACTGAACCCAGTCCGAGAAACCAAACGCGAGTAGGATTCACGCTTCAAACGATTTCTCGGATGCTCGGATACGACAAATTCTTTACTAAGAACGGAGAACACGTCGATCTTTTTCATCCAGTTCTTTCTATTTTCCTACATCTTATTCTATTTTATACATTTTTCCGTTCTTCACTCTCGATCCCTACTGCCAAACGAGGATTCGTATCGAGATACGAACGATTATTCGATACGCGTCTTACAACAAGACATTCTAATCCTAATACGATTTTGAAGATCCGATCATCCGGGAAGTAGTAGATATCGAGAGCCTAGAGCCTCTCGACCAGGTTATCGTTCCGACGACACACTATCTCCTATATAGTTTGATAATCACGGTGAACGTTCAAGACGGGTGACTTTCCAGCACTAACCAAAGAATACTCTTAGTTCCTGACGAAACGGCATGGCGATTGTAGCCGACCGACTGTTGAAAAAAGTTAACTATTACTGCGATTCGACCCATACAATACCAAAGAAAGTACCTCTTCAGATTCTCTAGAAAACAAGAAATACAGTATGTGTATCGGTTGAATTCCTTATTCGTTTACGAACAACTTTGCCAATTTTCATTTGAAAACGCAGTTAAACCGTCGAATCCGTTTGGATGTCGTGTGTTCGATATGCGAACGCGTCATCACCGTATTATACGTACCACGTATATAGCAACGTCGTTAGGATCGTTTACTATGTTTAGTGGTCTTCGGGCAGGACCGACGGCACAGTGCTCGCGGTCTCTCCTAACGCAAATTTGTCAATCACGTATACAGGGTGCTCGTCTCACGCAACGTCTAGAAAGAAGAACAAATTTCTAAAACGAAAACTACGAATCCGAACATGGAACACGCATTTACATACATTTACACTGGTATATATACAAACGACGCACATACACGCGCGGACACACGCACACGTGCACAACACGCGCATACAGCTCACACATCACGCATCTACTTACACACGTATCTACATGTATGAATCAGTGCCGACCCAACATTCGCGGGTTATCGGTTCTTCTTACGTTAAGATTATCAAAGGCGTAGGTATGTACGTCGCGCCGTAGATTTTATATACGAGACAATTTAAAGGGATCGTTAGTGCCGTGTCAAAGTGAAGTCATTTCGAAGTCCGGTCGTCCGCGCCACGGCGCTCGTTCACCCAACGTAGTATTTATTATTATTATTACCCCTTTATCATCATCGTCATTATTATATTACGATCATCATTATTAAGAGTACGATTAGATCGTTAAGCGAAAAGTGCGAACGAATTTCCGGCCGAAATTATATCCATCGGGGTTCCTTTTTTAACGAAGGATCGTTCAACCTGATCACATTACGCTTCGCGATCCAAAAAAGATCGGGATCCTGTTGTTGTTCATTCTCATGGCTCGACGATTCATAAAATCGTTCTTGTTTGACTGACCGGTCACGCATCGCCCGAGAAATGTCAACCAGGCTGTGATTATCCAAACAAAACAAAAGTAACAAAAGGGTGAAAACTACTACGATCACGACGACGACGACGTTAACAAGATCGAGTCCATCTCGCGCAGAATGTTTCTGTCCATTCGATAATAGGGGAGAGAGAGGAGGAAACGCGAAAGAAATAGCGGAAGAAATAGTAGATCGTCTGAACCAGCTGAACGCAATGAGCTTTACTTTTTTATTTTATTTACCTAGTCTACGTCTAGTCATTTTTATACTCGGCATAATGGTGGGAGGGGGGAGGGGTGGCGGGAATAATTTACTCGTTTTCTCATAAAATATTTATTTACTATTTGCCTTAATTTTAAGACGTTTCGCGTAAAGCGATGTATAGATTTTCTTTTCTAAACCAAAGTGACTATTTAAACGAATCTATTTAGGTAATGAAGTATTTATTGTTCCGAAAGGTTTCCAGGTAAACCAAGTGCAATTTCATTTTAGAATAATTTCGCTAACGACACGCTGAGGATATAATTTCTTTATTTTATCGGAGTACGTTGTTCCTGATAATTTGCGACCAAACACGTCGCGTTTTACGTATCAAATTTGTTTTATACGACAAATATCTCGAATATACGCGCGTATATATTGATATTTGGGCATTGTTTTCGAACGTATCGTTCCTTGTTTGTTTTCATTAGCCTTTCTTGTTATCACGATTCAGTTTTATACCTCATTACGAACGATTAGGGAGATTTTAAGGGATTGTTTGCACCGGGCAAATCGAACAGTACAGCAGGCAGCAAGTACTTACATTGGTATGAGTTCACAAAATTTGTGGCTACCGATGTGATTAGCAACGGACGATATTCATGTGAACATTGAATATTTTTTTAAGCACGATAAATAAAACATTTGGACATTTAGCGAGCGATGCCCGGTCGAATCACAGAGTTTCGCGCGAGCTTCGATTTATACGATTCTGGGCGGAAGCCACATGTAAAGAAGCAGCGACGGAGCATTGATGTTAGTGGAGGAAAAATGGGGGTCATTAGAACGAAATCAAATACATAAAGCACGCTGGAAAACTAGCGTAGGCGAGCGATGGAACGGAGAAGAAAACTCTGATCTAGCAGAAATAATCAACCAAAGTACCAACAACTATTCTATATATAAATATATAAATATGAATTATTAAAGAAGGAGTATATAAATATATAAATATAAATATTATAAATATGAAATATAATATAAATAAAATGAATGAATAAATAAATGAATATATAAATATATAAATATATAAATATATATATATATATATTGATTGATTGAAAGAAAAAAACTAGAGACTTAGTAAATTATTATAGTTTAGCTAAATCAACATGAAATAAATTATTACTTCAAAGGACAGGGAATGGGAGGACCGGCTATAGTCTGGCGCAATTTATGACACGACTAAAAGCTATCTCAAATTTATACGCTATTTAAATAAATATAACAAATGCTACAAAGAAATATACATAAATATATAAAATAATATACGAGCACGCGTAGTTGTGTAACCTAAGTACGCGTACGTGTGCATGCGTATATTTATTTCTATATTTATATATGCACGTATAAATACTGTACTTATAGTTTAGGGGCAGGCAACCCTTCTCCTTGCTTTTCCATCTGTTCATAAAGTACGTTGCCTGTTCGTACACTCGCACACGAAAACGAATCATTGCAAAAGAACACTACTTATTATACTTCGTTTATCTATACATACACACACATACACGTACGAAATTTACTATACATAGTTAATGCGAAGGCGTGGTACATACGTGTATGTGGTTCACACGCGTGAACGTGGTAGCGCGTAAAAGTAAGTACTTGCGAAACTAAAACCAAAACAGAGGGGTGTGCTGTAAACTATCCTCCGATGACGAGCTCGAATGGCTTGCTAGTTATTGATGATATAAAATATTATTATACTAGCATACGCATATATATATATATAAAAAACAATTAATACTGATAAATAACAGTAACCAATAATACTAATAACAATGATAACAATAATAAAAATAAATTACTTACAACAATACTTTATAAGGCGTATACATAATTTATACTACGCGATAAACGCATATACGTATATATTCTTGTCAGTTTTAGGAATACTGAATTCGTCTAAAGGCATATATACATAAATATATATTTTCTATATATACACACATATATATGTATGTATGTATATATGTATAGACTGATGTATCGAAAGCGCGGGCGTAGATTCATCGATGCTGAAAGAACGTCACGAAAAATGTTGTGTGAGCAGCATCTTTGCGACGTTGTACCGATGCACAACGGAAAACGAACATGACGAAACGATATCTAACGACGATGATAACAATGAGATTGCCAGTGAGATCTTCTTTGGACGGCGTTTTGATGGCAATTCGACGCGGAAAGGCATCGCGATACTCGGGAATCGGTCGTAGAGATGAAACTCAGGAACGCGTGTAACAGACCCGGCTGATCACAAATCAAATTTGCTAAACAAACTAATCCGAAATATGTGTTCACGAAGGCGAAGGTAAATATAAGAGAAGGAACTGGGAATTAACGCAACCATATGTTTGCCAATCCGAGGTCCAATCACAGACCGTAAGAGCAATCGCGCGATCGGTAGGCCTCTGAGTACGCGTACGCGAGCGTTGATGGAATCGCGTAAGCGGCACGATCGTAAACATAATTAGGCGAATGCGTGCATCGCGAGCATACAGGGCCCGTGAGGAAGGTCTGCGGCACAGTGGTACATCCTATAGATCGGCGTTTCATTTCTCATGGCATCGTGCACGTCTCTCGGTACACGTCCGGCAAAGACGATTAGCGGACAAGCTGAGCGAATTGGGCTACGGCTAGATACTTGTCTACGAGTTTCCTATTCCACAGACCAGTCCATTCATCTCTCTGCTAAAATCAAATCAACGCATTCCATTTTCGAAATAGCATTAGCTATTAGTGCCACCGCTATTAGTAGGCGTATACCACGGACACGAGCTCCTATCGTCCGTTTTATCTGTTCGACCGTTCCATAAACGTACGCGCCAACAATTTCCCACATTTGTTCGTTTCGTTCGATAATTTTCGATGTAACGAAAACCTATCGTGTCACTTTTCATTTCGCCACGCCAACTGCTCGGATGTCGTTTCCCATTTATATACGTCACATTCGTTGTTCGTATGGTTTCGTACCTTTGGACTTGGTGTTGGTCCGTTTTCGTACTCTCTACGCGAATCACGCCGTATCGAATCGCGTAAGGCGACAAAATTGAATCGATTCGGTTATCAATTTCAACGTATTTAGTTAACTCGAACGCGTTTTAAGTGAAAGAGAGTTACACACGTAGTTGTACGATGCAACGTAGAGGAAGGAAGGTAGACACCGCCAAAGTGATCGAATATAGTGACACGCACACAGACACAAAGAATCATGCGCACGCGCGCGGACACAGATACAAAAAGGAAGGGAGGGTAAGAAGAAGGAAAAGACACGTATACTGGTAAAAGCTTGTATGCAAGTACCAACTGATTATATCACTACGATCTAAGCTTTTTAATGTTTAACAATACTTAATAGCGAATATCAAGGTATTCAACCTACTCTAATAAAAACACCCTAATAATAGGTATAAATTCATATAAATATAAATGTATACATATATAAATGTATAAATACGAAGGTAACGACAATTGTAAACAAACCAAAACAAATACAACTATTTTATCCAACAAAGTTTTTGCTACAACCGAAGTAGTATGCATCTTGCTATGGAATAAATGAGACTTACGGGAGAGGAGAGAAAGAGAAAAAAATATTCTTAGCTCTAAGGACAAGAAGAAAAATAATGATAATAGTAATCTGTGAGGATCAGCTTCGAATTTATTTTTACAATGACGTGATGTAATGCTGAGACGAATTCGCTGCTCGCTAATTAACGTTCCGAATGCTACTCGGGAAGCGACGTACTCGCGAAAATTCAAGCGTCCTAACGACGTACTCGGGTATCGAATTTTCTGCCGATCTCAGTTTTACCGAACCTAAGGATTCTCTTTAACAAATTCTCGAGTCGCAAACTTTGCCGCTGAAATTTTTTAGAAATACGAAATCGGTACTCGTGGTCGTCGTTGTCCGATAGTATTGTCGACCATAAAAATTACACGGAAAGCTTTCGTGAAACGGCAGAAAAGAAAGGAAGAAGAAAAATATGGGATACAAACGGCGCGCAGTATCTCGGCGATTTTATTCGTTCCGACGAATCGTTATCGACGATCGTTATCGCAACGGCCGACCGTGACTTATCATCGTCGATACGAAATTTCCTGGAATTTTTATGGTAGCCACGGAGACACGCACGAAGATTCGATGGAAAACGGGAACGAATATCCTCCACTCTCGAATATATAACTAACTTTAATAATAATAATAATGATCAAACACTACATATAAGCATACTACCATTTACCACCGTACTCGCACACGAAACAGCCAAAATTATCAACCCTCTCGACACTGCTATACCGCGTTCATCGATCCAAAATTTTACGTGGAATTACATTGGATTCAAGTCACGCGCGCCGCGACCTGATATCCGGTAGCCGTGGTGTCGGTGATACTAGGAAACAGGGTATGTTTTTGCAATTATTTGCATAACTTGTAAAGAACTAGCAACAAAATAAATACACGTTTACACCGTTTACACATCGATACGCGTTCACATACACGCACACACACACACGCACACGCACGCACATGCACACACATGCACATGCACACACGCACACATACACTCACACACGCACGCACGCACGCACACGCACACACGTAAGAACCTATAAGTACCGCTTGATGCGTACACGACGTAAAATACACTCGTGTAGAACTTGTGCACATATTCGCGCGTGGTTACCGTACACACTCGATACATACGTAACACTCACACGTGAACTGTAACATACGTTATA